TTATATATATATATATATATATATATATATATATATATATATATATATATATATATATATATATATATATATAACTTGTTTTTGAACCTACATATACAAGTTTAAATTTTTGGTTAAGTTAGTTCCTTGACATGGTAACATAATATTGTTAAAAAGAAGACCACAAGTTCAAAACTCATGGCCGCCAACTTGAAAAAAAAGATTTTACGTGAAAGGCTCAAAATAACCACACAAGTTTGAATGTTTGGTTGTGTTAGTTGTTCTTTAACTTTTGATTGAGGTACTTCCTCAACAAATTATTCTGAATCACATATATAGAGAGGTGACACTCAGTCATAATTTTGAGACCGATAGAGTATTATCTTCAAAACAATATGCACATCTACCAATTAAATTGAGGAATTAGAGCTTGTTCTTTTTAACTTATTCTTATTATTTATTCTGATCTGAATCATACCATATATGACCTGATCAAATAAAACAAATTAGATCAGATGAAGAATAGTTGTCTAGTAGACTTGAACTTCGTGTTAGCACCCAATGACCTAATCTATTAGTCCTTTTTCAATTTATTCTTAAATTTGTGGATGTCATTAAACTTCTATTTTTAATTACTCCCTTCATTTCCGAATAAAATTTCTAGTTACTATTATGATCTTTTGATATTTTTTGTTTATATATGACGAAAGAGTTTTAGTGGTAGTAAATTTCACTCTAAAAGAGATCGATTTATCCCCGTGTCGTATTCACGTGGATTGATGTTAAAATAAATTTTCTATTAAATCTAGTTAGGCAAAGTTTTACTCATTGGTTTTGGAGGCCTTCTAAATTCGAAAAGTGTTTGTGGTTTGGATTTGAAACTGATTTGGACAGAGTAAGAAAATAATTGTTTGATAAAAAGGGAATATGAATTGATTTCAGGCAGTAGGAATTTTTCAGATATTTTAACTAGCTGGATTATTAAATTAACTAATTAATTTAGCTAGTGAGTAATTATGTCACAATAACTCCATTAATTTTATCCTATCTCTAGGCATTATTAATGTGCTAGAATCGATTGACTAAATTATTTTTCTCATTCATTGACAAATGGGCATAATAATTTTTCAAGGATTAACTAATAAATTGGCGAGATTAATTAATTAGAATATACAACAATTATTAGCAACTTAACATTTTAATTAATTAAATTTAATATTCCAACATAATTATTTTTCCTACATTCCTACTACCCTATTTTCAATTCACATCCCTAATATGTTTAAAAAGACATAGTAATAATAAAAAGTGCACAAATTAAATAACAAAACATGTTTATAATATTAATTTACATCTTCCAGAAAAGCGGAGCTGGAACAGAACTGAAACTGAAACTCCAAAATAAACCAAAATTATGATAAATTAGGCTGAAATCGCTACTTTACAGAGAGGAAAACCGAAGAAGAGTTGATGATGGTGAAGGATGATCGACGCTACCTTTTATAAGCCTAGGAATCTCCGGGGCGGGGTGTGGGGCGGCCGCCCGGCAGGTCGCCCTAGAGGGAATATCCGAATATTCCTTCGCAACTTGATGCCAATTGCTGATATCACGCGGTTGAACTCCGGGGCTGGGTCCGGGGCGGTCGCCCTACAGTCGATTGGAATTATCACTGCAAAAGTTCCGCCACTTGCTTATATCTCGCAATTGAATTCCGGGGCTGGGTCCGGGACGGTCGCCCGGACCAAACTAGGAATTTGGGCTTCGAATTTCTGTGGCAAGTTCTATATTTTGTGCTGAACATTTTTCACTTCTGGAGGTATGGACGAAATTGAGTTTAAACATCTCAAATGTTTTATTTTTCTTTCAAGTTTTTACTCCGTTTGAACCAGTTTCTGTTTGAAAATTCCAAATTTGTTTTGAACACCCTTTTCTATAAACAAAATGACATCTTCGAGATATTTACAAAAGAAAATAAATATTTTTACTTTAATTAAATTTATTTACACACAAAAACGTTTAAATATAAGTAAAATAATAAGTACAAAATGTACTTATCAATATATATTTCATTGATCTATGATAAAATAAATTATTATTGTCACATATTATTTTGTAGAACTTTTGGTCAATGAACTTTTGTTTATTTGTACTTTATATTTTTATTTTTATTTATAAGTAAAACCATTTTTAAACATATAAAAGTTTACACGTTATTTGAAGCAAAAAAATTAATTTGGTGACAAAGAAAGTATGTTTATTACGTTAAGATAACTTTATGTACTTTTATTATCAATCGAAATATGTAGTAGATATTTTTTTAGTGTTATCGATTCAATTACCATAGAGTATCTGTTCATGCTTTTTTCTGAACCTAATAATAGACGAAGAACAAATGCATCCATCTCGGTGAATCTTGTTCAACTAACTAATGAATCTTGGAGAGAGAATTCATATCACTCAAGCTAGGGGAGAAGTTCAGATAGGGAGTATATATTTTATTACGAGTATTATTAATATTTTGTATGATGTTAAAACACAATACTCTTAGAAGCCTACAAAATTATTATTACGAGTTTTTTAGGAGCTTCTAGACCTATAACTATAGTATCTGTTCAGTTTTATAATCTCAACATCTAAAATGCAGGAATGAGACTCAAGACTAGATGTGGAGAAACTTAGGTGGCTCATTTGTCACTACTATGCCAACATGCTTCCGTAAGGAGTATTAATAAATTGTTATGGTTCCCTTGTCACTGGGCACTGGTACTACTCCAGTGTTACTGACTTTTTCGAACACCTTCAGTGCTCACTTTGTAAAGGTGATAGTTCTTCTTCATCTAACCTCATAGTAAACCTTCTAACCCAGCCAGACCCTCACTCTTGTCTATTAGATCATCTCAAGTTTAGTTGAATTTGGGGTAAAAATTGACTCCAAAATTACAAATTGATGGGGATAGGAGATGAGTTTGGGTCAGTCAGGGATGAGAAATTTCTCGAGAGAGGTAGGAACTATCAATTTTACGAACGAAACATCAGAGCGACAAGAGACAACAGAGTGGCTCCATTGCCAAGTAGCAATGGAAGGGAGCTGTTAATTTATTCCATTCATTTTGCACATGTTTCACTTGTTTTATCTCAGGATTATAAATGAATAGACCGATAACAAGCCAATATATTCAGCCAGCCTGTAAAATAGCGTGTTTGGACTTGACACTTTAGAGTACGTGCAAGGTTCAAGTTTTATAAATGGCAGTATGAGTATTTTAGGGTCAGGCTCGATTTTTATGCTCAAAGCTATCGGGTACCCATTTAGGCCCGCCAACTATATGGGTCAGACCGAGCTCTGGCCTTGAAAATTTTTGTAATATAACATCTCGACCCAGTGTGAAACCTGGCCCAATCTGTACTTTGATGGGGTCTATAAATAAATCAAAATAAACGAGTGAAATGTGTAACACCCCAACCCACGTAACCCGAACTGACAGGTTAGCGAACTGGGTTGTTACTAAGTTGGTATTCGCATGCATAATTTTTAATTAAACCATTAGATAAATTGTAAAAATTCATCCAAAGAGTTTTAAAGCTAAACCAAAATTCATCGGAGTAACAAAACAAGTCCAAACATCGCGAAAGCATAAGAAAATCTAAATAATGTCCAAAATTCATCCACGCCACACCACAGCTTCACTGCCCTCCGGGTTGCCCATCCAAATTTGTGTTCCTACCTGCGTGCAGTCAAACAACAACGACTACATGCTCAGCGAAACGCTGAGTGAAAATATACCTAAGCCAACACTAACTCACAGAATAGCACCACATTAATATAGAATTAACAACATGTGATCACGGAGGAAAATAGCTTAAATAAACATATTTATATTAACGCCTTCCATTTGAACATCATGTCCTTATTTTATTTCGCATCTACTAACTTTGAATCAAGGCACCCCAAGCGATGCTATATATAAAAGGGTCAGCTCAGAAACCCAAAGGATATTCACTTTGGACAGGTTGAAGCCCCTGCCCGTTCGATGCCAGGACAGGTCGCGGGCTTCCGTACGCACGTTTTTAACCCAAGACTACCGAGGGTGCGACGACGCCCTGCAATGGCCAATTTCCCAACCACATCCTATTGGTGATTCAATCAGTCAATCCATTTCAGGTCCGCCTAATTATACTAGGTGGCCTATTTCTCATATATTATTCATAATCCACAATATTCACCAATAAGATCAGTTTCATTTAAATCTCAGTTCACAATTCACAACAAATCATGTAGCGGCCTATCTGGGCCGAAGACCCACGATTACCGTCAAGCATAATCAACAAACCCAAATTACAATTAATCCCACTTACCTGCGCGGAATCGAGCCTCGGGCCCGCTGCCCCCACCAGAGCAGTCCCCGTCGTCGCTGGACTAACCTCGGCACCCCTGCCGGTAGCCAACCCGGCTGCCCGAGCCCGAAGCCCGGCCAAACAGCCCTATTGGTTGATTCGCAGCCACGGGGACAACCCATCAATTAGCCTCAAACGGTCCAATGCAACCCAATTGTACCCAATTAAATCCAAATAACCCAATAGAACCCGTTAGGACCCAATTGAACCCAATTGGTGCCAATTGGATCCAATTGGTCCAAATCAAGAGGCTGCCCAGTTCCGACCATCTTGTCGCCGCCGTTGCCGGCGGTCACCGGAGGTGATGATGGAAAACAGCCCCCCAAACACCAATTCCATAATTTCAACACAACAATCACAAATTCTCAATCAAATCGCAAGATTATATGCTAAGAAAGTTCTAATCTATGAATTAACGCTAATGGAAGGTATGGAAACCACAAATCACCTTGAAAAAACGACAAATTTAATTTGAATTGGAGTGAACTCGCCGCTGCACTCCCTGGCTCGACGGACGAGAAGGCGCGCAACAGAGGAAGGAGAGGAGGACGTCGGCGGCAACCTAGCGGCGGCTCTGCTCGGTGTCTCCGGTCAGCGTTTGCGGTCGGCGTCCCTAGTCAGCGGCACTCCCAGCGGAAACGTACAGCAACGAAAGAGGGAGGGATAGAGTGCATTACGCGGATAGGTTCTGTAACCTCCTCAGGCTTTTAATATATAACTGAATATATTTAGGGTCCACTTTGCACTACTTAACCAATTTGAAAGTTTAACCCCAATTACCTGATTCGTCAATCATATCTTGGACCCAATAAGTCCGATTCACGATATGCTTGCACGATCGGGTTCAGAACAGCAAGCTCCATAACGTAGGATAAACTCCCATTAATTAAGGCAAATTAGAAAATAATCTTTGTATTGACCGGCCCAATAATTAATTAATTTTATTAATTAATTAAAATATTAAGCCGGGTTTGGAGGCGTTACAAAATGTATAAGTAATAAAAAAGGGGGAGAGTGATTGAATGAATGATGGTAAAACACCATCCAATCCATATTCAATAGCATCTTGGTTCGCATGACATTGGGAACCAATGTCATGGGATGACCCGGGGGCGTTCCGGTGCCACGTTCGTAAAATTGACAGTTCCTACTCCCCTAACCCCCCCGGTAAACTCCCCCACCCCGCCCCGACCCGAACACACCCACCACCCCCTTTAATTGCACCCCACAAGTCGATTTTGACTTTGGAGTCAAAATTTGACTCCAAAGTCAAAATCGACTTGTGGGGTGCAATTGAAGGGGGTGAGAGGTTTACCGGGGGTAGGAACCGTTAATTTTACGAACGGGGCATCGGAGCACCTCTGGGTCATTCCATGACATTGGCTCCCAATGTCATGGGAACCTTCCCATTCCATAGATGATTGATTCATTGACATCCAATCCAAACCATATCCATTCCTTTGTGGATGGGGCATAGGTAATAAGTGATGACAGTTGGGCGCTGGGTTGTGTTGGCCAACAACCCCCCATGTTTGCACCATAAACTGTTACGGCTCTGGAGGGCCTACCTCCATATATACTAGCCATCAACGCACTATGTGCCATAAATAGCTGCCCAAAGTTAGAAGCTAAGGTCACCTTCTTCTCGTTTAAAATTTCATAGTTGGATGTTAGCAAAAATTGAAAGGAGTTTATATGTTGAAAAATTATTCGATTTAATCATCACCGAAATAAATTTGTTAATAAACTACAATTTTGAATAAAAATTTTTATCATCATCCGTGCTTAAAGTGATATGTTATAAATTTGAATATGTAATGTTATTTATCATATATAAATACCATTTTTAAGTTGTAAGAAAAAACTAAAGGAGTTGAAAAGAACTTAAAGTAATTGGAAAAATTGAAAGTTTAATTTTTCCAACAAAAAATTAACACGGTCTAAATAAATGAATAATATCTGTTGAAATATTAGAATAATAATATTGCTCCTTTAATTATGGAATACATCATAGAGTATATATAGGAGAGACTCCTAACACAACTAGGAATAGAGAATGGAAACTAACTAACATACAACATCTACCACAAATAGGAATAAGAAACCGACTAATAATCAAATACTACCATAAGTCCATAATCAATACTACCAGAAGTAATATTAGTATTATTGTCTAACATCCCCCATCAAACTGAACTCTGGTTGAAGCAAGAGGAAGCTTGGACACTAGTTGGAAACGAGAAACTTTGAGAAGAGAAGTCTGACGTGCGCCGATGGCTGGTGACGTCGTTGCAGAAGAGGAAAGTCTGACGTGCACTGTACACCCGTTTAACACGATTGCTCGTCTGAAATTCCATACCCAGCGGCTCGTGATCCTTTATGTGTTGGCGCTTTAAAAAAAATTCAAGGAAATGAGAGTTTATTTGCAAGTGGTCAACTAGTTAGATTCAAAATGACCCGGTTGTCCACTTGAGGGGGAGTGTTAGAGTGTCATCCTACATCGAAAGTTCAAGAGTAAAATAATCGGTATATAAACTCTTGAATTGAACTAACTAATCGATTGAATTCAATCTTTTAATATGACTAAAGTAATCATAATATGGTAATAAATTTAGCTTATGTTACATTTGGCATAAAAGGGTAACAATGCCCCTTGAGTGGTGTTACGAAGAAGTTTAAGTACAGTATTAAATTTTAAGCATTTGACAGTCACAACGATTAGACTACGCCTCCAATTTTATTATTTTTATGATTTTATTTTGTGTTTGAATTTTTTAGTATTTTAGAATTAATTATTTAAGAAATTAAATTTTATTTAATTATATTCTTTGGTACAGGTAATCACTCTCTTACATTAAATTTAATTATACAATTTTTATTTTATTAAACTCACGAAAAGTCAAACCCAAACTATTAGTTTATAACAGATGGAGTATTTAATATACTCCGTATATTTTAAAATTATTTTATATTATTTGTTGAAGTTTATTATTTAAAAAATATTTCAAAATTTATTTACATTATTCATTTAATTTTAATATTTAAAAAATCGTTATAGTAAGTTGACAAATTGACATATAAACTCTTACCTGCAATAAGAAATTATATACAAACTAGTTCAATATGATGTGACACTGATGCATAGAAGAAAGATGATGCACTAAGAGCACTGGTAGTACCCTTAACGCTCCTCGGCGTTATGGCCATTTTGAAGCCTGGGGGGCGTTAAACACCGCCCCTCTCCCCCGTTAAAAGGGCGTTAAATTTCTTGCGTCAAAGTTTTGACGCACTTTGAAGGCATTGTCACGCCTTCTTCTTCCCTTTTTCTCCCTCTTTTTTCCTCTTTTCTTCTCTATAAATTAAATTTAATTTTTTTTAAAAAAATTCAACACAAATACAAATTTCTCTCTATTTATCATCTTTTTTTAAAAAAATTATTATTCAAGTGTTTTATTTATTTTTTCATGAATGTAATTTTTTTATTTAATGAATGTAATGTTTTTATTTAATTAATGTAGTTTTTTTAATAATGAATTTAATTTTTTTATTTAATGAATGTAGTTTTTTTATTCAAAATCATGGAAACCGACCTTTCTACGTTGTCGGGTTTCAAACGGATGATCTACGAGCAAAGATAAAGAGAGATCAAGGCGAAATATAATTTACCTTAGTTTTTTTATTAATGTATCTTTTTATTATTGTCGTTTTTTTTATTTTAATGAATGTAATTTTTTAAATTTTAAATTATGGTCGTTTCAATTTCTTTAAATTTAATGAATTTATTTTTTTATATTTGTGTTTCAATATAATTAAATAATAAATTAATTTAAATTTATTAATTTAAATTTAGGAGATGTATATTTAAAAATGTAAAAAAAGAAGGTTTGAAGCCCCAGTTTGAAGCCCCGGGGCTTCAAAACCATTTCCAGTGAATTTTTGGTGTAAGTTAAAGCTGACGTGGCAGAGAGAGAGTTTGAAGCCCCGGGGCTTCATGAGTGCTCTAAGAGAAGTAAAGAGGGTATACACCCTCTACCCTAGAAGTGTAGAGTTGCAGTGTAACGATAACAGTTTAAATTATTATTTTAATCAAAGTCTTAGAACTCGTATTTTTGTGCTATTGTTATTCAGGGAGTTCTCCCGTTAGCCGTTTGCTTCTCCATTCGAGATGATCTAATATCCCCATTTAGTTTTAACATTTTAAAGTTAAATCACATTCTGAGAAAAATTGTCCATAATGCTAACTTTAATACCAAAAACATTTTCCAAACATATTGATAAATGTTATGTCAAATTACTCAATAAATAAAGAAATGTAAGTCAAATATACGAAGTTCAAAAATCGAACCTATTTCGAAAGACTAAAAAAACGCTACTGATTAATTCCAACTAAATAAATTAATATTTCCTTCATATTATTACAAATATAATTTAATTTAGAGAATATTACACATGAATTAAGTTTACCAAGCGCCCACTTTTGCCCCTGGCTGCGTGTTTAGTGTTTACCTCTTCTTAAGAATTTCAAGGAAAAAATAAAATAAAATAAAATGACACTCCAAAAAAATATTTAAAAAGAAAAAAAGTCCGAGTGGGATGGGCGAAGCACGACTCACCGAGTCAAGGAACGGAACAACCGGTCCGCGAAAACCCGAGTCGGGAGCGATCCTTGTCGAACTCGAACACAAACCCTTGCTACATTAGGTTTCCGATGACGGATAGCCCCGACGGAGAGGCGACCGGCTGCAATGCGAGGCACTTGACGTCCGGCGCCGTGTCCAGGAAGTAGTTCCCGGCGGGCGGGGTGAAGACGGCTCCGCCGGCGAATCGGAAACTCAGACTCGGTAGCCTCGGCTTCGACCCGCCCGACACGTTTATACACAAATCGAACCCGGAAGTCAGATTCGCCGGCTCCGGCAACTCGATCCTCCGCTTGAACTCCGTCAATATTCCGTCGTACGCCGGCTTGGCCAGAAATGTCAACGTCGTCCCTGAATCGACGATCGTTCCGCCGTTTCCGAGCTCGTCAATGGTCCACACCGAAGGGCTGATCGGTAATTTCACTTCTTCTACGGTTATGCTCTCGATCCCGATGTAGTAGAAGGTAGACGAGAATGAGTTGTTAATCAACGGCGTGAAGGTCTTCACAACGGCGCCGTCTTTCCCGTCGCCGATCACCAAATAGCTCCTCGGAGTCGGCGCCAGAGTATAGTCCATTAAACAGTAAGAGAACTTGTTCCCCAATTGGCGGCCCAATTGGGTGGAAAGAGAAATCGGGCCGCGGCCCAGCCCGAGCACTCCCTGAGCCCCGCTGAAACTTGGGCCGGTAATGCTGGGCCCGGAAGATCGGAAACTGCAACCGAACTCAACTTTCTTGAACCGGACGGCCTTGCCGGAGCTGTCGTTGAACGACGTCGTCTCCGTGGCGAAGAACCCGCCGGTCAACGACCCGTCGGAGTAGGAAAACTCGTAGCGGCAAGGGCTGTGGAGGCGCGTGCGGTTGCAGGGGACGCGCGTGGGGTTGGTGAGGAGCCCGCACCTGGGGTGGAAGCAGTGGAACGCCGAGAAAGAGGCGGAGTGGCGGGGGAAGAACGCGGAGTGCGGGAGGCGCGTGGAGCAGTTCCGGCAAGCGGAGCAAGCTGCCCAGACGAGGTCGCTGCCGGTGTCAGCCACG